ATCGCGCCACGTGTCATCTCCTGAATAGCGATGTTGACGGCGCCGTCCGTTGTCGTCAGACGGAAAACAACGCCGACGGCTAAACTATGCCGACGGCTATCCCACGGCCGTCGGCATATTCACCTATGCCGACGGCTATACTACGCCGACGGTCTGACACATCTACGCTGACGTGATCTACGCCGACGGGGCTATGCCGACGGCGGCCATAGGCATAGATCTATGCCGACGGCAAAGGACCTATGCCGACGGCCTTGGGCCGTAGGCATAGCCCGCGAGTCCGGTAGTGACAATTGCCATTGTTTGAACCAAGCTGCTTTTACTGTATATAAAAAACCGATCAAGCTATACATACCGAATGGCATGCCGATGTGGTAGTCCTCGACGTCGTAGACGGTCTTGAGAGAGCGGATGTCGCCGAAGTTGTCCACGAGCGCGCGGCACGCGTCGGCGGCGGCGGCCTTGAGCGCAGCCACCGCCTCCCTGGACTCGCGCACGAACCTGCGGTGGGTTTCCACGATGCCCTCCTCCACGTACTTGGGAGGGTCCTCGTCCCCCCACGGCCACCAGTAAGATTTCGGATCAGCGCCACCGCCGCCGCCGCCGGCGGCGGCGGCGTTGCTGCGCGGGGTGCAGAGCTGCGATCGACGGCACAAGTTAGTCACCGCAACGAGCGATTGAACGGTGCAGGGCGACCGACTGATCGACAAGACGGCCCTCACCAGCGACAAGGGACGCGCTGTGCGTGGCGGCGCGCGGGGCGTTCGGGCGGCCCCGACGACGTGTGCGCGGAGGGGGGAAGAAGATGCTGGGGCAAGAGGTCGCACGGCGCTCGCCCTAGGAAGCAAAACCGGCGGCGCCATCACGCGCGAGCTCGAACGATCGATGCAAAGACGGATCAGGGCTTACACTTCGTAACCAACCAAGCGCATGCCCCCTGGCTTATTCAGGATATCGATCGGCTACTAGATCAATTAGGTTGGGCTTGGCTTATGTTGGGTTTGGCCAGCCTTCGCTCCTCTCTTCCCAAGAAATGAAATTACCCAAATCCTAAGAGCATCTCCGGTTGCATCATCAAAAAGTGTATTTTACATTATCTGCAACATTTTTGTTCCAACAGATACCCTATATTCGGCACGACAATTGCATACATATTGAATATATGCATACCAAACTCATCTCAAATGAATCACAAACAAATTGTTCATCAATCCATAAAATCAAATTGTTACACAAATTGTTCATCACACATACAATTTTTTGTTTATAAACTCCCCAGGTGTGGCTAATCTCAGAATGACGATTTCTCATACGATGCAAACGGTGACACCGGATATATATAAAATATGCCTCGGAATAGCCGTGCCACAAGCCATCACCAATGCATGGACCCAAATGAGAAGGCAAATAAAGTTACCTCATTGGCAACTATTGAGCACTTGGTGGCCATGGCCCTCGGCCGCGGCTGCGAGAACGAACGCGTCAGACAAGGAGGCGGAGAGCTGGTCAGAGACAGGCTACGACTCATTGGACGAGGACGAGCCATCACATTCAATGTTGACGCCTTTTTCTTCTTATTCTTCAACGCCCTCCTTTCAGTGCCTTCATCGCGCAAGGGAAGGTCAACTAGCTGTCATCGGGGGCTTGCCGCGGCCTTTGTTATCAGCCCGGCGGCGAGCACCAAGTTTTTTTGTCACCAATCTCTTCCTTGGCACCGGAGGCGGGAGGGGGGAGGGGTCCATTCCGGCGGAGGAGCCTTCCCGTTCCATTCCTGTTTGGAGTTAGGTAATCATGGTAAGATTTGGAGTTCTTTTTCTTGTACGGGAAGTTTGGCTGCCTCATAAATAGATGTGATGTGATGGCGGATTGGACAACACACAATTGACAAACCAGTCTAGCACTCTAATATTTTATCTTTTTTTTTGTTTTCCTAGTTTTCTTCTTCCATGTTCTTCGTTGTTCTTCGTGCTTCACGGCAGGATCCACACGGCCCTAGGAAGATCAGGTCGACCTAGGGCAGCCTATAGCCACCCGTGCCCTGACGGGATCCCTCCTGGGTGTGTGGGGTTTCCGGTCTCCAAAGACCTTGTTGACGTGTCTTACATAGCGCGCTCGATGCCGGAGGCACACGGTGACATGTTCGTGCGCGGACACACATTGAACACTATCCTAGCATTGGGAATGTGACCGCAAGTGTGCATGAGGAAGCAGTGGAACGGGGCAAAAGCATTTTGTCGAACACGTACCATGAAAGCGGGCATAACGACGAGAAATTCTCAAGGGCACACAAAGGCGCATATAAGCTTTCCGTGCACATCTGTCCTGTGGTCACATCACGCACCAACTTCCTGCTCACCTTAAGTTTTGCATAACGGAACTTAACAATTTACAAATAAACTAACTATAATCGCCTACTATGTAAATTCCGCTACACAAAACTAATAGCAAAAACGAAGATGTATGGGATGTGCGAAACAGTTTCTGAATTGCTCCGCAAAGGTGTGGCCAGCAAAGTGTGTTTGCGCCCCCCTGCGTGCTCCAAATCTCTTCTCGCATAGCAACAATCTAGTGAGAAAGTATTTTCGGGCGCACACATGCGACCAGGTTGGCCATGCAATTTACTCCTTAGCAATTAATACTTGCATGCTCTCAACTTATTATATATGGTATAATTGATTTTGAACTAGAAATTGTGCATAACATAATATTTCACCTCTTATACGCCGAGAGACCATCCCTACACATAAGAGAAGACAAAGTTCTTCCTTTCGATCCTATGTAGCATCCTTGAGAGAAGGTTGACATCACTTCAATGTAATACATAAGGCACAAATATTTAGAAATAACTCGATAACAAGTACATTGTTTGATTTGATAATCATATGGAATATGAAGTACTTATAATATGAATTATGCTTGAGAAAAAATGGCCACTCCACTAGCAGGATAAACGTTTAGAAAAAACTCGCTAGCTTGCACCTGCCCTCCTTAGTTTTTAGTAGTTCGATGGTCACAGCGAAATAATATTTTCCATACTTCTTCAGGCCAATTATGTCATGAACGAACGATATGGAATAGAGGGCATAAACTGGTGTCCTGTGAGCACAAAATAATAAACGTTAACCAACGGAGACATCATTAAGAGATAGTGAGTGTAAATTTTTGGCTCCGGGCTCCATGAAGCCCGAATACATACTCTACCTATTAAATGGAAAGCACTGCATTTGGCGAGTACTCACTCTCTTCTTTTTAGGCACCAGAAAACTCAATATTTTTTTACACGATGTTAAATAACACTCCGCAGTGCATAAATCAACATATACTGGCATGGCAGCACTAAGGAGTATCTCTTAAAATGTTGATTCTACTTTATTTTGGTGCATAATAAACATATATTTCAATGGTAGCAGCATGCATAGTATCCCTAACAGAAGTGTTTAAATTGCTTTATTTTGGTGCATATATCAAAATATATTGGCAATGTAGCACCTTCCATCCTTTATTAGTTTGTTAAATTGAAATTCAGGTACATTGTTGTTTCTGTTCTGCTGAATGGGACAACCGAATGGAACCATGTCCCTACCTTCTAACTATTTTTTGTTGAGGAACATTCGGTGTGCACTCTTCGTGGTTTTTATTTTTGTGTAAAGCACATAATTATACTTCTAAACCCTTCTTCGCTAAGATAGGTAGATATTACTTGGATTTGAAATGCAGGTATATTATCAACGTTTTCATAATAAAGATACATTTATTTACCCAGAATTTACCTTAACTTGAACAATTATGCGACATACAAGTAATACCAGATCAAAAACTTACTAGTGCAAATGTAGACACTGTTGCACCGGTAAAGTGGAGTGCAATACTCAAAGAGTCAAAGTGTAGGGTGTGAACACTATTTTTCTCATATAATGTTTCCATACAAATTTGTGGGATGCAAATATTCCTTTTGTATGTTGGAAACTCATGCCATCAAAAGATAAGGCCGAACTGCAGACCTATGGCCATTACGGAAAACAAATATTGTGCGTGCATACATACATGTGCGAAAAAGGGACAAATTGTAGTCGCCGGACCAAATTAAATGCTTTAGTCTCTTATAAGAAATGATACAGCTGTTCAACGCACAAATTTAACTGTTGTAGAAACATGCGAGTAATATTTTGCATAGAATAATGTGTTCTCTAATTATTTGGCCAATCTTAATAATGTTATATGCATCAATACCCAACTTAGGTTCAAGAGTTTGACTGCAACTACTGCGGGACATCATGTATATTTTGGAATGGATATAGTATATATATTACTTTGTTGATTGCAATGCAATTACACATCTAAAATCTTTGCCTCTAGTAATCTCGACAAGAAAATAATTAGGTACTCAATGCAATATAGAAATGTTCTCGTGGAAAAGTTGCAGTATAAAGTGAAGCCGATACTCATACCTGATAAAATCAATGGGAGCGAGATTTTTCCTGAAATCTTTCACAGCCATGATTACGACAATAACTGCATAGAAAGAAAAGTATAGCATTTTACATGGCTTGATACATCAGACATACAAGTTCCAATTACCAACTGTGTAGTACAACAACTGACCAAACTTGAGGCGTCCGAACAAATCATTCGAGGACCCCTGTCTCCGGATGTGTGAACCCATGACACTGAGCCTGTAGAATGCGTAGCCCAATACAACATCTAGGAATGTCGAGGGATCTAGCTTCCACAGTTGATAGCAACCAATGCATGCAATAAGCACACCTGAAGAAGGAAGAAATAAATCCCTAAATTTTGGGGTGAGATGACAACAACCAACAATTGAATGAGATTAGAGAAGCAAAACCTAATATGTATGCAAAACCCATTTTGTATATATATCAACTAATAATATGTACTTCCTTTATAAACTAATATAAGACCTTTTAGATCATTAGAAGTCTATAAAATGTCTTATATTAGTTTATAGAGGGTGTGCTAATGATATTCGGAAGGACTAACAACTCTAGAGGTTAGAGTACAAACACCCCCTCTCCTCCATCTTTTTTCCCACTCCCTTGCGCTCCTCTTGTTTGTTATAATGCACATCGCTATCGTTCTCCTTCCACATTCTCATATTGGCATTCCAGTTAGGCCGCCTCCCTCTTCCCCTTGCCTTTTCTGTGATCCTCTATATTCCTCTTGTCCTCTTCTCCCTTGTTCCTATGTCCGATGGCAAGCGTACTAGCAAGCGTTTGGGTTTGGTCCCTATGTTTGATATATGAAGCTTACTGGATAGAGTAAATGAAACTAAGAAGCAAGGTATATAAGGCATCAATAGGGCAGCCCGGTGCATATAGCTCCCGCTTGCACAGGGTCCGCAGAAGGGTCCGGCCACTTTAGGTCTATTGTACGCAACCTTTTCCTATATTTCTGCAAGAGGCTATTTCTAGTACTTGAACCCGTGACCTCATGGTCACAAGGCAACAACTTCACCACTGCGCCAAGGCTCCCCTTCGTATATAAGGCATCAATGAGAAAGAAAAAGACCACTGAGGGTAATGGCAGAGCTTAGTGTAGACCAACAGGGGCTATGCCCCACCCCCTTAATTTTTGGATTCATTGAAGAGCAATGCTAGATTTTAGGCCTAACTAGTGTTTCAACTAGAGATTAGCCCCTCCTTCCCAACTAATTTGTTCCCCTTATAGTCATGACCCCTCTAAATTTTTCTCAAGATCCGGCACTGACTAAGGGGCACTTGTTTTGGGCTTATACAACATCCTCAAGTCCCAAGGGCTCACATGCGAGAAGAATGAAATTTTTTTGGCCCACATATTTCCATGGCTGGCTTGGATTTGCATGTATCTACGAAAGCTGCCCAGGAGCAGTATCCCGAGATTCTCTGTGAGGCCCAAATAAGGGTGCCCCAATCCCACAAAATTATGCTACACTACCACTGTGTGACCCACAATATCATAATCCCGCTCTTGAGTACCTCTTTCCCCTCATTCTCTCTCTTCTTCTGGCTCCCCTCGCATTCTCTATTTTCACGTTGCTCCCTTCTCGTTCTCTCTTTTTTCCTCACTCCCTTCTTGTGCTCTTGCCCCATGTGCCCCATAGTTCTTTCTCACCGCCGCCACCGACTCCGACACCACCTTCGCCCTTTCTCATTCTCTCTCACCTCCATCCCGTAGGGCTTCCCCGGTGCCACCACCTACCAGTTTCGGCTGCTGCCACCTACCCACAACCCAGATATGTCAGCCCATGCATCCCCTCCCCTTAATCGTGCCATGGTCGCTTACACCACCACCGGCGGGTTTGTCTTGCCTCGAGATTCTCCGCCCCCCTGATTGTTGTCGATGATGGCACCGACCTTGTTCATCAAACTGCATCATGATTTTCTCATGGACAACCACAACCTCCTCCACGTCTAGCTCGTTGCCACCGGCTTTGTTCACACCATCATCAAGCAGCCACCAGGTCAACTTCTTCTACCCCCCGACGGCTGGTCCACCTTTTCCACTTCTCCCCACTGCCCTCCATCCTCTAGCGTTGTTCACCAACACGGGCCAGTGGCAATATCTCCAGATCCAGCCCAAGTTATTGTTTGCTCTACAATATTAGCTGGTTGGTCCATGTTTGCATTCTTAATTTTTTTTTCCAAAGTGTAGTAAATCCACTGAGCTTTTTATGTTTGTTTTCGGGTAGGATGATTGCACAATTCAAAGGTTGGACACATGTCATGATCAGATAGTATCACAACAATAGCAACGCCATTGTGAATAATGAGTGTATATGTGGTATATATTTGATTGATGCCTACTTGTACTCAATTATACATTGACATTGTGTTCTATTTTAATTTTGCTCTTTATGATCTTTTTTCAATTCAGGCTCACTTTTGCGGTTAAGTAGTAGTAATATATAACGACATTATCCTTTAATCAGGGCACAACTGAAATTCAGGGGCATTATAAAGAGTTGACTTAGTGATCGTCCGTCCACTCTACTAAATAGTGACAATTAATATGGATCGGAGATAGAAACATTTTTCTTCATCTAAATGCTAACAGGTGGGACCATGCAAACCTACACGTGAAACAACAAGTGACCCCCTTCCAAGTCCCCACGCCTCCCGCTGTACGTGGCATCTCCCCTCACCCAATTCCTTCTCCTCCTATACCGCTTTTGTTGTCCGATCTATGTTAAGGTGAGTTCAAGATTTTTTGCTGAACGATTAACAGTGTTTGAACTTTGAACCAAGCTGCTTTTACTGTATATATAAAAACCGATCAAGCTATGCATACCGAATGGCATGCCGATGTGGTAGTCCTCGACGTCGTAGATGGTCTTGAGAGTGCGGATGTCGCCGAAGTTGTCGACGAGCGCACGGCACGCGTCGGCGGCCGCGGCCTTGAGCGCAGCCACCGCCTCCCCGGACTCGCGCACGAACCTGAGTTGGGTTTCCACGATGTCCTCCTCCACGTACGCGGGAGGGTCCTCGTATCCCCACGGCCACCGGTAAGGTTCCTTGTCGGGGCCACCGCCGCCGGCGGCGGCGGCGGCGTCCACGTTGCTGAGCGGGGTGCAGAGCTGCGATCGACGGGCGACGGCACACGTTAGTCACAGCAACGATCGAGCGAGACCCGCAGGTGCAGGCATATGAACGGTACAGGGCGACCGACTGATCGACCGACGGCGCTCACCAGCGACACGGGACGCGCTGTGCGTGGCGGCGTGCGGGGCGTTGGGGTGGCCGCGACGACGTGCGCGCGGAGGGGAGAAGAAGAGGCTGGGGCAAGAGGCCGCAACGCGCTCGCCCTAGGAAGCAAGGCCGGCGGCGCCATCACGGGCGAGCTCGAACGATCGATGCAAAGCCGGATCACGGGATCAGGGCTAGACTTCGTAACTAACCAAGCGCATGCCCCCGGGCTTATATTCAGAATATCAATAGGCTACGAGATCAATTAGGTTTGGCCTACTTATGTTGGGTTTGGCCAGCTTTCGCTCTTCTCGTTCCAAGAAATTATTATGTGGTGACGAGGTAACTAAAGTGGTACCGTGGCCCGTCAAAAAAAAAAAACTAAAGCGGTACTGTGCATTGTGGAAGGTGAGGAGAGTGCACAATGCATCAATAGTACTTATCTGCTTTCAATCTCAAAGGTAAAAAATCCCTGCATTGTGGAAGGTGAGGAGAGTGCATGGTGCATCAATAGTACTTATTTGGTTTTAATCTCAAAGGTAAAGAGTCCCTCCGCGCTAACCCAATTCCTTCCAATCAACGTATGCAATGTTTTACATAAGATTGCTTGTAAAGTCATTGCTAACGGGCTGAAAGAGATACTTCTAGAAATTATTTCTGTAGAGCAGTCTGCCTTTGTTCAAGGAAGGCATATTACTGATAACATCATTGATTAACATTATTGATGCTTATAAGTGCTTGCACTTTATGAAAAGAAATAAAGCCTTGAAACATCGCCACTGTGTCCTGAAGCTAGACATGATGAATGCGTATGACAGGGTAGAATGGACATGTCTGGAGGCTGTAATGCTCAAGCTTGGCTTTTGTGAGAGATGGGTTTCAATTGTCATGAATATGGTTTAATCAGTCTCATACACGGTTCTCTTCAAATGGCAAGAAACTTGACAATTTCAAACCTTCGAGAGGTATTCGGCTGAGAGGCCCATTATCATTCTACCTTTCTGTGTTAGCAGCGGAGGGCCTTTCAGGCCTCCTCAAAAGAGATCATTTGTTGCATTTGAGTGGGATTCAAGTGGCTCCTTCAGCGCCATGAGTTAACCATTTGCTATTTGCTGCGATAGCAGACTGTTTTTCAAGGCAAATGATTCAGGGGCGATGGAAGTGTCAAACCTATTGGATTCCTATTGCCAAGCTTCTGGGCAAAGGATCAATACAAACAAGTCCTCGGTTTATTTCAGCAAGGGAACACCAAACAATCTCAGACAAGAAGTAAAGAGGGTTCTCAACGGTCATACTGAAACTCTTAATGAGAAATATTTGAGTATGCCCTATGATATTGGTTTTTTCAGGATGGGTGTTTTTAAATATCTGAAAGACGGATTATGGTCTTAGATGAAAGGTTGGATTGAGAAAACTATCTCTATATCAGACCTGCCCGCATTGTTGTTTCCTGTTTTCTTTGGGCTTGTTGAGTTGTGCCCTCAGCAGCGCCCCGTACTATTTGTCTTGTTGGTACTCTGTGTGTGTGTGTGTGTGTGGGTGGGTGTGAACCTTGTTGTATCCATTGGATGTTGTGGTGGTTTGCTTTATTTATAAAGCGGGGCGAAAGCCTTTTTCGAAGAAAAAGAAAAAAATCTTATTAAATCAGTAGCGCAGGTCGTCCCACTTTTCTCGATGTCATGCTTTAAATTGCCACGAGGTTTATGTGAAAAGCTGAAGAAGCTCATTCGCCAGTTTTTCTGGGGTAGCAAAGAGGCTCAAAGAAAACCACACCTTAATTGTGAGAACAAAAAAATATAGCTACTAATGCTTGCTAGCAGGGTTTATGGCATGTCCCAAACATGCATGACTTGCTAATGGGGCATGACTACGTGTTTAGTAAGACTAGATGATACCCCGTGCGTTGCGGCGGGAATATGTTGCAATATATTTTAATGAGATTTGGTTGTATGAAATATTTGGACTAATAATATATGAAAAAACTAAAAAATACATATTACAAATTGGATTGGATTATTGTATAGTAGAAATAAAGTATTTGTTAAATACATGTCACCTAATATTTTCATGACGATAACAACTGACCTTTCATGTACAAACATGAGGTTAGGCTGGAAGGTTTCATTTTCATAACATTATCTCAACCACTTGATTAGATGTTCACATAAGTTATAACAATGTAGACCATATTTAGATACAATATTTACAGATTTTCTTCATTAAATAACAATAAATGAGTATTGTTACATTTGTTGATGTTCCATGCATGCATAAGTAGAACATCGCAATCACTAAATTCTGATTGCTTTTTGAGATAGCTAACCGCTCATGCCAAGCACTCCAATCACTAAATGTTATTCCTAAAGTCAATCAGAAACCTTCAAAAGTTAAATGACAGACAAATCGCCTAAAGACCTCAAATGACAAAGAATGCTTCTGTGCCAAATTTGTTTTCCCCTCCAATTCAGTCTTGATGATGCGGGAAATATCAGATGCATGCCCTGTAAAAAAATGCTATTAGTAACTATTTTGAAAAAAAATACATTTGCTATACTCTGTTAACATCATAAAAAAGAGTTGTCATCATAAAATTGTGTAATTTTAGTTGATCTAGTTGACGAAATCTGATGGGGGACTAACTTGGCCAATCATTGCAGTTTTCTTCTCGGATATTGCAGAAATATATTTTGCAACACACATCATCAGACGCTACAGTTTCAAATAAGAATATAGAGCACAAAACCATGGGTTACTAAATTCAACATAATATAAAATGAAAGAACTGTTGGAAATATGAGCAATTTACCAAATGATTTTATTAGCAGAAATATTAGATAAAGCATGACTAATACAACAGTGACAAAACAAGCCATGTGATTTGACAAAGAGAAGGTAAACAACATCTTCATATATGGACTGTAACTGAACACATCTAGAGCAGCCAGTATAGCAAGTTGCATATATGAAACAGAGTCTAACTTATGTAGGGCAAATACTAGAACAAGGAACTGCAGCAGGACCTCTAACAGAAAGGAGAATAACACGTACGGGACAGTAGCAGCAGAAGCGCTGGACTTGGGGTCAGTGTGGGACAGTAGCAGTAGAAGCGCTGGACTTGGGGTCGGTGTCCTCGCCTGCCATGTCGTCGAGGAGGTCGTGGACGTCGGGGAAGAAGTTGTCGGAGTCCATGATGAAGAAGCCAGTAGTCGCGCGGAGCGCTCCCCAAAAACCTTATCACCCGCCGCAAGACGGGATGGAGAAGAACGTAGCAGCAGCGCAGTGGTCGAAACTTTGTGGCGAGAGGAAGAGGAGCTTCTGTTGTGTCTCTCTGAAGAGGAGCTACCTCTCTTATATAGGCACATGAGAAGGACGCGAAGAGGCTACGGCGAGTGGTGAAGCAACGAAGGGAACAAGCAGGGCCGAAGAGGCGCGCCGTTCGAATTCAGTGTCCACTACAAAAAACGTTTCAACTCCCACGTGACCTTTCATATACCCATTGTGCGTGGCAAAAATTTAGACATCGGCTCGGCTCATTTCCGCAACCCGTGGCGCGTCGTGACGAGGCGGGCGACGGAGGAGGAACGCACGTGGATGTCCCTCTTGTTCTCATGCTCATACATGTGGGAAAAGAACCTCCCTTATAAAGAGGTCCAACTCCCTCTAAACTAGCAATGTGGGACTAAACTTTTGTTCCACCTCTTGCCTTGCACAAATGGGCTGCATGGGCCTCTAGGATTTATTAGGAATTTCTGAAACTGCTATTGGGCTAGGCCCAAAATAGACAAAATTCCAGCAATCCCCCACCAGATCCCAGAGGCACACAAAAATTTGCCTTTGGTTCTAAAACACTGTTTTATATACCGGTACTGCAGTGGAGACTGTTAAGTTGAACTTCCACCTAGAACTCTATGCTACACTAGTAAGCAACTTGAACAGTGGACTAGGGCTTGAACTGCAAGTTTTTTGTGAATCTAGCTTCACATAAAGCCTTGACCGATACATGGCTACCGTGGGTCTTCCCCGCGGGTGGATCTTATGCGTCATACTCTGTGACCTTTCATGAGTTTACTAGAGAGAACCCTACTCTCATAGATTGCGACGTTTGACAATCAGACTCATATAGGTGTGTTCTTCAAAGGATGTTCTGCAGGATAACATCTCTGCTTAAATAAGCCACTTAGAACACATTAAGATATACATCAACCTGCCATGCAGATTAGGAGAGTATTGCATCTTCACGGGGTGGTATTGTGAATAGTAAGGATACTCTCCTCTTAGTTGACCAACAGCTTGTCTTCCACATCTAATTCACGGGATCTCCGATCACAAAGAATAGGTTACCACTGTGAACAACTCATATTGTGGGTCTCATACCCATCTCCCTCGATGCATTATCTATCACATTACGTGATAGACCCTTAGTAAAAGGATCTGTCAGATTTTTAGACGTTTGGATATAATCCAATGCAATAACTCCGGAGTTTTTCATTTTCCTGATAGACTTTAACCTTCTCTGAACGTGTCTTGATGACTTCATGTTATCCTTTGAGCTACTCACTTTCGTGATCACACTTTTATTGTCGCAGTTCATAAGGACACCCGGTACAGGTTTCTCAACAACCGGCAAGTCATTCAAGAGCCGGCGAAGCCAATCTGCTTCAACCGTAGCTGTATCTAGTGCTGTGAGTTCTGCTTCCATTGTTGACCTCGTTAAGATGGTCTGCTTGCAAGGCTTCCAAGAAACAGCGCCACCTCCATGAGTGAATACATAACCGCTCGTGGCCTTTATCTCATCAGTATCTGAGATCCAGTTTGAGTCACTATACCCTTCAAGCACCTTTGGATGCCCGGTGTAGTAAATTCCATAATTTGCAGTGCCTTTCAAATAACGCAAAACTCTTTCTAGAGTTTTCCAATGCACATCTCCTGGTTTTGAAACAAACTGACTCAGTTTGCTAACAACAAAAGAGATGTCAGGTCTTGTAGCACTGGCGAAGTACATAAGCGATCCAATAATCTGAGAATACTTCAATTGGTCTCTAGCAATTCTTCGATTCTTTCGAAGCAACACACTAGCATCATATGGTGTTGGAGAGGGCTTGCAGTCACTATAGCCAAAGCGACTCAAGATCTTTTCCACATAGT